GACCAATAATATTGCGGAATAACAACGGGGTCACATGAAAAATTGATTTTGGGGTATGACCCCAGCAAGTGTATCAAAAGAACGAGGTGTTCTGTGTATCAGGATCAATGGTTTGTTACGACCCATTCTAGGATGTGACCCGTTCTGAGAACGGGTCATAAATTGTTGACCCATTTCGGTTTTTTGCAAATTTGTGATAATCTACGAAAATTTTTTTATCACTGTAACACACACTAACAAATATTTCGTAGGCTATACCAAATATGTATAACAAGCATTTTTTTTACTTAAAGTTTAGTTGAGTTATTTGTTAATGCTGAATACACATTGTATAAAACAGATTACATCGCTCTAACACACACACATTGAGTAATAGAATTTTCGTTTCGCCAATTTGCATTATACTGCACGCTTGCAGTACCCAGTGTGTATGCTCAGAAAATAATCTCTGGCATGAGCTATGTATTTGTAGTCACCATTCCGGTTGAATTCTCAGATCAATCAAGTCCGCGACATAAATTCATTGGCAATAATGGACTTGCAGATATTGGAGTTAACATTGCCCATCGACTTGTGCAGAAGCATGCATTGACAAAGGCGACAACCAATTTTCTAGGAATGTAGCTGTATCGTTCCTTGAGCTCGTCGAATGTCTTCCGTACCCGGCGTGTTGCAAGTTTTCATAAACAGAACTGATTGCATCATACATATCCTCTCTAACGCACACCTGTTTTTACTTTGTTTGAGTAATAGGATTTTTGTCTTCCCTATATGCGTTATACTGAACGTTTGCACTCAGTGTTTATACTTTATCTGACCGCAAGAATTTCAATCGATTCCTTGGCTTTGCGTGATGTTCGGGTGACAATTACTCGGTAAGGGATATGAAGTTAAAGTAATTATTAGACATGTTTATTTAAGTATGTCAATCTTGAGGACAGGACGATGTTAAATAAAAAGTTGGGTCTTCGCTTATGATGTTAAAAATTCGATGCATTATATTTGTTCAGTTATGTGCCATGTATGTTTTGGATGGAGGACAGGCATATCAGATACCCATTACCAAGCTGCTGACTTGGAAATGGTTGACGCAGAATATAGTGAATTAGACAATATTCCAGAGATGGTTGTTTTATTGACAGCGGCGGTTAGGGGTGCAAGGCATGGGAAATAAAAGTAGCGCTAGTACCAGTCATTACAACTGTAACAATAAGTGTTCAACAAAAAGATGTCCTTGTAACCCAAACTGTCATCCCACAAATAACCATTGTGTTATCCATTCATAATTTACAACTCGAATTATGTTTATATAAAGTAAATCTTTACGTTCGCTCATACATTTAGTAGCAAAGGTGTTATTAGAACGAACACTGTTAGTATTGTGAATAGTATGCTATGTGTATTACTGTGATAAAAATTTTTTCTGTAGATTATCACATTTTGCCAAATCGAAATGGGTCGGCCCGCTTCAGGATCCCGAAATGGGTCAACAATTTTTGACCCGTTCTCAGAACGGGTCAAATCCTAGAATGGGTCGTAACATAATGATAGAAAATTCCGCTCCCAAAATTTACTGATTAAAATTTTTTTCAATCCTTGGTGAAATTTAGTATTAATGCCTTTAATTCGTTTACTACTCTGATCAAGAGTCTTTAAGCATGTCAACAACTACTGTAATAGTAACTCCATCTGGTGTCTCTTCCTCCACTCTATCTTACTCTGCTGTCCTTCAGCAACCACCCCCTCTCTCATATACTAAACAGAAGATGAACATGACAAGAATAAATATGATAAAAAGTCAATCAGGAATAATATTAATGCCCAAAAAATTACCAATACTCACTCTTCAAATGTTCATATTCTTCGCTTTAGAGTCCGAATCAACTTCTATAACTTTTGTAAATGAATTGGTAACTCCCTCATCATCTTGAAAATCTACGGGTTCGTGGGTTAAGCCATTGTTTCTATTCCATACCTGTAGAGTTTTTAGCAAGCATGACAACACGCAGTAAATTAATGATCGAAGAAATATCTACCAGTTTCGTAAATTCCTCAAAGTGCATTGTAAATAGATTATCGCCAGGTTTTGCTTTTTTTGTCGACATTTTCCCAAAAATTGGCAACAGCCTGAGATTGGAGCTTTTTCTACAGAATTGAAGGATCACAGAAATAACTTTGGTTATATATGCACAATATCATATAAGATTGTAAATCTGAAAACAAAAAAGGATCAAGCAGAAGATTCTCGATTGACTATTATGACAAAACAGCGGATGTCCAACAGACAACGGAATCCTATGAAAATAGGGGCGAAAAACAGCGGATTCTACCACAATGTGAAAACAGCGGATCACCGTGGTTCCCTATTTTCGTTGGTATTTTCTTTGAAAACAGCGGATCTTTCCCTGCAGTCAAAACAGCGGATGACGCAGAGGGAACTACCAACTTTTCTACTAAATCCTATAAAAAATAAACACAGCACCCTGTAATTGTCGGCACTTTTTTTTGCTAACTTTCGAATTCGTATGGAAGATGGCTCGTCGAGAGTTTGTTAATGAGTCACACAAAGCTCTATGTTTTTTGCTCTTCGCCGATGGTATGGGTGTTGCGTTCTTTTAGGTTACATAAGTATTCGAGAAGGCGGTTGGATACGTCAGGTTTTTCTAAAACTTTTATGACAAACTCCTCTTGAAACCGACGGCCGTGTCTTGCGTTTAAAACCTGCCATTTTTTTCTCAAGTTTGATATCAGGAAAAATTTTTAATATTAATATATATTGGTTTCCATAGTGTTACAAATATATATTAAATTTCCATATGAAACATGACGATTTTAACTGGCGGACATGTAATACAGAAGTCACGGGCTACTGGGTGCTTATTATATGATTGGTACATTGTCAAACAAGCTAATAATCGTGCGATTGTTCGCTGTAAACATATAGTTAAAGATAGAACAAGTTTATATTAATATATCATCCAATTATAATTGTCCACTGTATTAGTAAATTTCGTGCTATATATAGTAAAGAATCCTCTGATACAAAAATAGTATTATTTAAATTTTCCCTCGATGTAGTAAGTCTCGTTGTCAACCCCGTTCCGTTTAGCCGAAGGACTAAGTAAAACCCGCTAAACCGAAGGTAAGTTCTAAAACCTCTATATTAAAGTACCCCGATAAACCGAATTTCCCGACCCACTTGGGCACTATGTCTCGACCATCACGTGACTTGTTTCAATTTAAAAAATAGATCCCAATTTAACCAATTATATGCTACTCAAACGATCACGTGGTTGTTTCAATTTTTCGATCAATATTTCGGATCACGTGATTGTCTAGTATATGTCCTACATAGTAAAATTACAGTTTGTCCGTAGTAAACATTACAAGATATTAATGAACCTTGGATTTGCTATCTTCTGTGAGATAACGCTAAGTTAAACCATGTGTCAATGAAGAGGAATCTTATCGTTAATGTTGGAAATAAGACTTACCGTTCAGACAACAATTACGTATATACTATGCTGCTACGGGCTTCGAGGGAGCCGCTCTTCATTGGTATTTAAATCGTATGCAAGCCGCTACCTTGATAAGCAGCAACACGTATTCGCTGGCTGGACCGCCTTCGCAAATGCGCTTTGAACCGCGTGGTATGCAATTTCGAAATTTACTGGGATAAATAGAAGGGTTGACCAGGTCGCATACTTCATTAAAGGCCTTAAATCCGATGGAAGTGAGCTACCAAACACCTACTGATTTTGAAACCGCCTGGACGCTCGCCGTCCGATATGCTATAGTTATGTATGGATTGGGAAAACCGACAACCCAACGTTATAATAATAATACGTCATCACAATGACGTCATTACTGTCGACCATTATCACCGAATACTAATCAACCGATTCCAATGGAATTGGATCAGGTAGAAAAACAACGGCATAATAATGTTGTGTCTGAGTTTGGGACCTGTCTCAGTTCGGAACCCAGTCACTCAGTCCAGGACTCAGTTGTCTCAGTCCAGAACCCAGACACTCAGTCCAGAACCCAGTCGTCTTAGTCCAGAACTGAGACAGGTCCCCAACTGAGGTACAACAATAATAAAAGGCCCTTTGAAAATAAAAAAAAGAGAACTCTGTTATAATTGCGGAAAGCCTCATTTTGTTAAAGCCTGCCGAAGTAAACAACCCGTTAAGATTAACAGACCTGAAGAGCAACATATCTCACTACCTACTGCTGAATTTGTTCGGCTTAAAGAAAATAAAGAATTATTACGGTTCGATGGAATGGGGAATTCCGCTTAGATAGCGGCGCGTCACAAAATTTTGTCAGTAAAGATTTTGTACAAAGATATTGCTTATCCCAAACCCCAACCACGAAAATAACCGTCGAGCTAGCCGATGGACGAAAGAAAGAGGTTGACAATCAAGTCAACATACAGAAATTAGAATTAAGTGAATACCGTACATTTGGCCAAGTGATAGATCTGCAGCGATATGACGTAAGGCAAAGAAATGCAAATTATTTCGTAAGAAGGTAGAATATACTGGAAATTTTATATCTGAAAAAGGGATTGCAGTCGACCCAAGAAGAGTTGAAGTAATAATACATCCGAAATAAGATAATTTCTGGGGCTCGCCAGCTATTACACAAGATGTAACCGCGCATGGTAGAATGTATTCAGCACGGTTGTTATATTCAATGTCCATATTGTGTTGTATTTCTTCAGTTGATGTTTCATTGTTGTCTATAAAATCAAACATTTACATTTACCATATGACTATAATCAACAATAATAAACTACAATTACTAATGTCTCCTGATTCCACAACAAAATGCTGAGTTTGTATTTATTTGGAGGTACTTGGAATATGGATCTTGTTAACCAATAATTAATATTTATTCACAACATTATATGACAAAAGTAACTATAGATAAACATTAGCAATAATATTACAATAAACAATTAGTTATTATAAATTATTTATCCTGACCTCGCATTATTAATATCTTTGATATGGATTTTCATATGCAAAATGTGCTTTCAGATGATTTAATAATATAAAGTAATTTAGTAGGCATAGCAATCTATAACTTATGCAACCCTTACTTTTATGCATATAGTAAACTTTTCATAAAACGTGTCTGTATATATGTAGTTACATGTAGTTACATGGAGCATTATTATTATTATACTCATTATACCAAGTTATAGCAGTATTGTACCATCAGGTATAATTATCTGTTCCATACTGATGATTACAGAATGATTGCCATTCATAAATGCTATTTAAATTATGCATTGCTTCAAGAGTGTCACTATCTACAAGGAGTTTAAACACATTCTTTAAGTAGATCAAATGCCATCCATTGCATAAGTAAACTGATATGTCCAATATCTTGTTTAGCCTCTTTCTCATTTCCCCAAACTTACATCTTAAATATCAAGTATTATCATAAATCTTGTTTACTTTAATTGCTGTCTCGATTTCCAAATTAAACTCCAGGCAGATTCCGAATCATACTTTCTTGTTGTTGTAACAAATGACTCATTATTTTGACTTCAAGACTCAATAACAGTTAATGAATTTGAATTAAATAAATTCAGTGATAGCATTATTCAATGGTCTAATGCTATGTAATAACAAATAGTTTGTGTAGTCATAGAATGTTCTCTGGATAAGTTGGTGGATAATATCTAAAATACCAAACCAGAGTTCATCACTAACATCCTAGTTCTCTGTAGCATTTTCAGAATAGCATAAACTGATATGATACCAGAGATACTCAAGAAGCACTCTTTTATCTTTTTTTAAAACTTATTGAAATATTAGACTCTTTTTGTTTATACCATTCATTAAGACTATCTTGTGATACCATAAGTTGTCTCCAGGGTTCAACATGAAAGGCTTTTTTAAAATACATCCAGGGTATTTCTACATCAAAATCACCAAGAAGAACATCAACTCCTGTAATTAATTTAATCCCAACTTTAGCCAATCCAGGAACAGCAACAAGTAAATCTTTTGATGTTGCAATTGCTTGATCAATACTTGTCTTATACTGGTTTTTATTACTACAAACAGATTTAATGAGTTTGAGAAGGTAGCTACTATTGTAATTGCATTTAAACTTTTAATAGTTCGATTCATTAGATTTTGTATACTTTGGTTGTGTAATCATTGAATGTGCATTCTTATAAACAGAAATGAATTGTCTAATACAATCAGCAAAACGACCCGTAAATTGACACCCATTCTGACACATTTGCTCCAGTATAGTTATAATAATTCGTAATTGCCACTCCAATTTAATAATTGTTTCTCCTGAAAACACATCATCAAATTCTTGAGAACGTAGACACCTCTAATCTCCTTTATGTTCGAGAATGTATTTAAGTGCGTAAATATTCCGAGAATATTTCAAGTTCGTTAACAATTCCGTTATTTGCTCATCTGCTGACATGAGCCCTTGTTTCATAAATTGGAATATAGTTTTAGGAAAAGTGGATTTATAGAATTGCTTGGTGTTTGATGTAAAAGATGACATATAGAAAGCACTAGGAGCACTCGCTGTGGGAACGATGAAACTACTGTTGCAAAATACGATTAATGTATAAAAATACAATACTAAATTCGTTTAGAATACGAATTACAAAGCCAATAAGGTAATTAAGCAGTTGAAACGAACTCTATCGGGCGATTAACATCTTGAAATCTTTTTGTGAGACTATTGCATAAGCCAATTACGTAAAAGAGAACATTCTATTGACTAGAGTAATTTTTGAGATAGTAATCGACCAATCGCTGAGTCTGATGATGATAGTTAATTCAATCGACGTTCTACCCATATAAATCATTCGTTGGATGTGATGATTGACCCGATTCATTAGTCAAAAGAATGCGACCACATTAATTTTGCACAGTATGATTCCTTGTTCAGCAACATAAATTGTAATTACACATAGTTTATTTCGTGCTATTACAGTATTTACAGTTATCAATTTCTTCAGATCTGCATGCATATTCGCAGAGTGGCGTTCGTGTAACTTTTTCGGGAATCTTGAAATAATTACATAAAACCAGATAAAGGAATTATAAATACCGGGATGCTTTATTGGCCCAGGAGGAGAAAGAAGCCACAAGTACATGTATCGATATGATAAAAGTTATAGATTACACTTAATCAATATTATGTTTGAGGAGACATTCTCTTAGTGGTGATTAAGAGTAATGATAACTAAATAATATGTAGTCGGCGTAATATTTACGCAGTCTTACAGGATTTTTGTAGTAATACGTGGCGTTTTTACACCCAATAATATTGCCAAATAGTGATATGACGCCAGCATTCCAGAAATTCTTGCTATCCTTATAACAGTATAGATTAACCCAATGCAATGGAAGATAATGAATCATTACCTACATTATGGAGATCTTTGCTACAATCAGCACAGTTTACTATTTTAACTTTTAATGTTCTTATCTCGATACTATGCATTCTATTATTAATAGCAACAAGATTCGGTTCTTATACTTAATATAAGTGATTGAACAAAAGGTTAAACGCCAGAAATGGTGATATCAAACTATGACATACTTTGATGCACGTACGTGGCGCCCGTTGATCAAATTCAAACTGTACAGTATGCTGCGCTTTGAATTGACTTGCAATAATACAATACTATGTTTATGTTTATTACTGGTTATTTCTTTGTTTGTCTTTAAAAATACATATTGATATGATTAGGGGGTGAGGAAATGATTGCGATGGCATCGGGTTTAGACAAAGCAATACTGTACTGTATGTATATCTTTCAAAGCGACATAGAACGACCAAAGTGCACCCTATGCCCGAATATTTGTATTCCGTATGCGAACCACTTGTTTCCACACCTATGCATGTTAAAGCATGTATCAATTCATTTTGCACGGCGTTGATCGACTAATTTACAAAGTACCAGTATTGTTGCGTATTGTCAGGGGCGCATATTTTAATGGCTGCGCACGTTGCTTCATATGATGACGCTATGAGATTCTTCACGCTTCGAATCAACAAGTTAGAATTCGCTTTTAGTATAGTATAATTTCCTTAATGGCGTAACATATTTTCATTTTGCAAAATTGTTTACATCGTACACACTCTGGGCAAAACCCGTTTGTTTTTTTTTTATTACATCATTTATCTTAAATATAACTGAGGAAGAATAACCAAACAGGAAACCCTGCAATTTCCAATTCTGCACCATATGGTTATCTATACATATACACGGCATAGCCACAATGATTCTGACCGAGTCGGGTGGATTCCGCCAAGCGCCACCCCAAATTGCCTGGGATCTCTATCATGCTTAAAGAGTGTTCTTATTGCAATGTACAAATCTGTCCAATAACGAGTTGCATCTCTCTGAGCCGAATTGGCGACATAAACCCCCCGACATCCAAAGATCTGTACGACATTATACAGGGTACAGTACACAATATACAGATATGGTAATTATCTCGGCAGTCTCCTCAATCGGGCTCTGCCGTACAATATTTCTTCATAATCTCTGACACCTATTGGATGATTGTGCTGCTGCTATAAATATGACTATATTTATCAAAAGCCCTAAACATCGTTTGTTCCCCCAAATCTGTCTGGGGATAAATAATGGTTGTTCATTATTAGCCATCCTTCAGCCACAGCAGCCACACGCCATGTTGTGTTACTGGACATGATAAATATTAAACAACTCTTTTTTCCTTTCAACCGGAAGAGTCTACTCCATAAAACTCACTAATTGCCACCCATAAATGCGTGGCGTTGCTATAATTCTAATGGAAGCCAGAACCGGTAGAGAAAAACAAAGATATACTGCGGGAAAGACACGACAGGTATGAAGAAATCTAACTTTTTGGAGGGTTGATGGAATTGCCATTGATCGGACATAAATGTCCCATTGTCTAAGGTTGCAGGATGTGTGCCAGTAAACACGGAAACAAGACAGGTCTTGTTAGTAACTCAGCGAAAGAAGAGCGGTTGGGTATTGGTAAGCGTTGTATTTAGGGGGGTAAACATTTTAAGGAGCCAGACTTGAATTTCATATGAAATTAATTTAATTTCTTAAAATATTATGTATAAAATATTAAAGTATATGTTTATATCCTTTAATTGAATAGCCAAAGGGTGGTTGGGAAAATGACGAATCGCAACAAGAAGCAGCGGCGAGAGAGACTTATGAAGAAGGTAAACCGTCACTGTGCATGGACCAATTACTCCCGCCGTAATGCTCGTTGAATTTATCGTCGTTCTATTGTCTTTCTTTCGTCATTACTTTGTTTTTCTTCCTCACACACTTTTTGAACCTTTACACCCATAATTTTGTAGCTGGGGCAAAAGGAAAAGTAACACATTTTCTGGGCCAATGGGATTCCCTTACAATAAACAACGCTACCGGTTGTCCAAAGAAGATGTTTCTCTTTTTCGAAATGGAGGTTGATTCTGTAGAAGATAAATGGCCCGAAATGCAGGAGAGAAACCGAGCATGGGTAAGTATCTGCCAAAGTAGATGGATAGATAGCGTTGGGGGTTGTGAAATATGTGTGCTAACCGTTTCGATCCATGTAATCGTCACCTTCAGTTCGCTTACGAAGAGGCAGTAAAGATGATTGGAGAGCCATTCATGCGAGAAGTATTGAAGCAATGTTCGCTTGCGCCGACATCGAATCAGAACACTACCGCATCTATAGGATGTTGACAATCAGAAGTCAGTTCTGAAGCTTTTGTTGAACAATGGCTTTAAAATCAAAAAGATGTAATCTTATAATAATTGTAATAACAAATACAGCAGCTTATTTAAGTCAGGTGTTTATGCTTTCATTCCCCCTCTCAACATATTTGTGTAGTGGGAAGTAACCAGCGACTTCTTCTTCAAGTTTGTAATTACTGCCTTACAATAGACATCAATTACAAAGGATTAATAAGTTATAGCTTTCGCTTTATCCAACAATTAGCTTTCACTTGCTTTTCTCCACCCTTCTGTTATGTATTTCATAGATTGGATATCCCTTTTGTATGTCATCAAAGTATCGTCCAAAGGACTGTGGTAGAGCATATTTATTAAATGGAAAGAACTATACATAGAGATAATTGTTGTGGTAAATTTGGCCTTTAGATACTCTATTATATTGGGTGACCAATGCCTACCTTTACAATCATACGACTCTATTTCAAAAGTTGAAATAACATCTTTGTCACTGTTCTCGTCAACATTCTCGAGAAATTCCCCTTTTTTTTTCCTTCGGGTTATGCACGTGTTAATAACCTTAATAGCAATCTCGATACCAACTATTATGGGAACCAAACCTGATGATCAATAGTAAGCGCATGTTTTTATTTCCATATCTTTTTTTTTTTACCAGGATGGGGGGGCTAAACACTTAAGGGCTTAGTTTTCTTAAAATGTGCAAATCATGACTTTCGCTTTCCGCTTCGCGAATGGCACAAGGAGAAATGCATATCATATCAAATCTTATTCACAATATACAACAACAGCAACAGTATTGAGAGTTGCTCGAGCAACCAATGTGATACCGTTCACTCAACCTCCCTTCTTGCAAGCTTTTTCGAAATCACCGACCGAGCTGTCTCGTGCATTCCATGCATCACCATATTATACAAGAACGAGATTCTCAAAATGTGTACCGGTTATCGGTCGTGCCGCGTCCTCCTCTCGATCAGTCTACACGCTTAGACCACCTCGACCACCCCGCCTTCCTCAATATTCTGAATACGACCGATTTCAATCCGCCGTTCCGATATATCGCAAACGCATCTTTTGGGCATACGTTGGCGTATTTGGCGGGTTTTTCGGATATTACTATTTATCTCACCTCGAGGAAGTTCCCATAACTAATAGGAAACGGTTCATGAACGTGTCACCCAAGCAGGAAGAGTATATGACTCAGCAGGCGTATAAAGAGGTCATGTCCAAATTCGGTCATAGGATATTGCCGGCGCGGCATCCTGATTCAAAGTTTGTCAAGAAAGTGGCTGAAAAGATTATAAAAGTTTCACCGATTGAACGTTTGTATTCTATTGATAGATGACGATGTAAACAATTGATCATCGACTTGTTTATCGTATTGGGCGGCAACGTGTCGTGGTTAATGCCATCATTCAACTCCTTGGCTCATTCACAATACAAACCCTCTTTCACTTATTTGCAGATCTTAACTGGCAATTTCATGTGATTGCTTCAGATGAAAAAAATGCGTTTGTTCTTCCAGGTGGAAAGGTGTTTGTGTTTACTGGTATATTACCAGTCACTCAGAATGAAGATGGGTTGGCTGCTGTACTTGGACATGAGGTCAGGTGCTAAATCAGGCACGCAAATGGTATCGAATGTTATAAGGAAATGGAGGGCTAGTATTAATTAATTTTTGTTATATCACAGATTGCTCATCAGGTTGCTAGACACAATGCTGAAAAACTTTCATACGTAAAGATTTTACTATGGGTTCAGATATTGTCTAGTTTCTTCATTGATCCTAGTCTTTTAAACAGGCTTTTCTTGGAGATTGGAATACTGTAAATGTCTATATGTAAAATGGATATTCTACCAATAATCTGTTCAACCTTACTCATCTCCACTTGCGCTTTTTACCCAGGATGCCATTCTCGCGCAAGATGGAAATTGAAGCCGACGAAATTGGACTCTATTTAATGGCTCAAGCATGTTATGATCCTACAGAAGCAACGCGCCTTTGGGAAAGAATGGATCGTCTACAACGGCTGTCTCCTCCACAATTCCTCAGCACCCATCCCTCTCACAAGACACGACAGAAAAAGATACAAGAATGGTTGCCCAAGGCTCTTCAATTGCAAGAACAAAGTGATTGTCAGCATGAAATAGACGACTTTGCTTATGCGATTAAAAAACTAAAGCCACAATGGGTATCGTGGTAAAATACGAAATGCGAGATACAACTGAAACCTGAGAGCATACATTTTACAGAACGAGTACGAGTAATATAATTGTATAATTATTTGTATACCGGGTAATCATTATTAATCTGTTAGTTTTTATTTGCATATAATGAATAAGCATAACTTAATTCTGTTCGCGTTCCAGATATTAATAGGTGCTATGCTTGAATCTACACTACAAATACTCACGATGCAATACTATGCAATATACTATGCTGTAAATACAGCGCTACGCTGAGAAAACTCTTATCAAAATGACAATTTAGTTCACATGATGAAGCTATAACTATCGAATTGGAGCGCATTCGTTGCACTGACTCATAAAGTACTGGCAATTCGATAGGTATGTAAAGGAAAGACAGAAATAAAATCATAATGCTAATCTTCTTCCTTGCATGTACCTATAAATCTCTCTCGTCCATCCACAAAATGTTAAAATATCATTCTTCTCTTCAACCTCCAATTGCTTCCAATTTCTCAGCGTCGATTCTCTCTATCCTTTCTCGTCATCTCCATTACTACTCTTCGCGTCCCTATCCTTTCCTTTCTCTCCTTTGTCGTTGCTTTCAACTCCACCTTCCCCATTTCCTTCACCACCAAACCAAACATCCCATGCTTTTTTTGCATTGTCTCCGACAAGATGAACAGCATCCAGACGCTGCACGCTTTCGGTGAATTTATGAAAGAACGCAGCTTGTGTTCCATCCGTGAAGGATTCTATGTAACGTTTGGTCAAGTGGTAACCGGGAGTGAATGCTCGTTTTATGATTCTCGTCGCTATGCATGAAAGGGTGAAAAAAGAGATTACGATCATAGCTAATAAACTAAAGCGATAATGATCGAGAAAAAGTGTCATACTTTCGGATTTTGTCGTTTCCAACTTTTCACCCAGATCTATCTCGTATTCTTCTGCAGAGGGACTTTTTCGAGTTGAAAATGATTAATGTATGCGTTTAAAACAATGTAAATCGACGAAAATGGCCATATCAAAACATACTCTGTCTCCAAATTATCAGTCGTTAACTTTTCTCTTGAATTCATTCCTACACAAATAAAAAGCAATTACTTAATACGCTTAACTATTTATAGTTCACTATTACTATATGCATTCCGATCGAGCCCAGTCAAATCGATCAATGTCTGATTAGAGCGAGCAAACCCCTAACTCGCATATACCTTCAGTATGCCTAACGCACTTGTCCACGCCCTTCACATAATAAAAGTAGTATCCATCAAGAGGGTTCCATTTGCTTCCGTTGGGTTTAACCTCATTCTTTTCCGCATCATTCTTATTCGTTTCAACGGTCTTTTCCACGTTATGCACCGCTTCAACGCTGTCGATATCCGCATGTGCTTTGCTCACATTTTCATCCCTCTTCTTTCTTCTCAAACATGCCATTCTACACACTGCGCTTTGGCCAACCTCGCGTCGGCTATTCATCTGCTTGCACCATTGTACACAGAATTCATCCCAACGTGGAGGAAAGGATTTGTGAAAGTCGCGACTATGTGTGCGGAAGCCAAAGAGTGGTGGAGGCGGTAGCGGTGGTGGAAGCGGGTCTTGTGAAGCGAGATCTGTCAGCGGTGGAGAATTGAGATCGGGAGATAATTCTGGCGGTACTTCGGTAGAATCTGACTGTGACATTTGTTTTAGTCGGTTACTTTTTTACTTTAATTTTATTACTTATATTTATTTAGCCTTTACACGTGATTTTCAATAGCTTGATTATGTGTTCGATCCAATGTGTCCTTTTTTATTTACGCTCTTGATTTGGTCAAAATGGTATTTATGATCGAGATAGCTTATATTAGCATTTCCCTGTATACACTCGACAACTCTAACACATTGCTTTTCTAAACAGGCAAATGACAAGGCAGTTGGAGCAACTCTATTAGTAACCTCAGTGGTTATATTTTTATACTACACGACATGGGCTTTGATAATGGTAACGATTGATTAGTCTCATCACTCGACTCGAGCGAAAAAAATGAGGAAGATCTAATGAATCGAAACATATATAATCTTTAGCCATTTGTAGATGAAGGTCATCCTCTACATGAATACTTCCCCGATCGAAAATATGCTATACAAATTCCCGTAGTTCTACTCCTCATCGGGGCCACTGTAGTATTTACTTTTATCGCCCTCGTAATGATAAAAAGTGGACATAAGAATGTTAAGAGTGCATGAACGTTCATATGTTATTAGAGGTGAGGAGGTTACAAATCATAGAGTGTGAATGGGAGGGTCATGTGTTTTTCAGAAATTGGAATGGAAGGAACTACTAATTAAACTTCCTCGTATGTGGATTTAGCAAAAATAATATGCATATATGCATTAATAGATATTTCAAGTTCGCCCACGGGATCACCATTACTTGATATAGATGATATTTACAAGTATCCTTTATAAATCAATTATAAATATACAAATTCAGAAGCACAATAAATACGGTCTCTATTCTTCGTTTAAACTCATCGTGCTGAACCTACGATTTGTATCATGGATGTTCACGACATTGTTTTTCCTATTGCCATCATCTTCATTGGTCTCTACGTTATTGCCGTCAACATTATTACTATCACTTTCCATATTCTCATTGTCCTCTTCAATCTTGGCGTTGGTATTGGCGTTAGCAGCGTTCATATTAACACGCGCGCTTGTACTTGCACTTGTGCTGGCACTGGAATTAACACTAGTTTCGGCATTGACATTAGCGTTACTACTATTGCTGCTTCCATCATTATTGCCGTTATTATGATTATGAAAATTCTTATATAGCCAATCCTTCATGAAAATATTATGAGATGGAGTGGACGGAGCTGATCCCGATGATCCGGCCATCGAGGGAGGAGAGTTCGCTACTGGAGACGATAGTGTCGACGGGCTGCCAATATGACTGGGGGATACCGCACGCCGCTTTGGATTAAAATGTGATTCATCTGAAGCTAGAAGAAAAAGTCGGTTAAAATATACAACTAAGTGTTTGAACTATGGGTGAATTGACTATGGGATTTGCACTTTAGAGCATTGACATATCATAAATTCCATTTACCTTTTCGCTTTATTCGCCCACTAACCGGCCATGGACCAATACTAGTCTGCGTAGGTGATGTTGTGTCTTGTCGATACTGCAGGCATACATAAATATACAGGATTAATATACAGAATTAATATACACTGACAACAACCCGCATAGGGCAAAATAAATGATTAATCACCGTCATGTCAACCTCGGGATTCAATTTTGAGTAAGGCAGTGAAAGTTGTATATCTTTTAAATTCAGCCAGTTGGCGACCAGTTCCTGAGATAATCATTAAAGTTTGTTTATCAGAATAACATGGATACTATCCGGTTGACACCATAAATAATGAAAAGCCACTAACCTCGGGATGTCTTTGATTAAGGTCAAGTACTTTTTCTAGTTCATTCTTGAGTACTTTGGTTGTCTTGTATTCCTGCTTAATCTCTGCCTCTATCGGGCGAGCTTCTTCTTGCAGTTCGTTTGCAACACGCGTGAATGACTTTGTCTTTGGCTATTGAGAATGAATGTAAGACATCAGTAAATACTAGCGATATTCTTGTGAAATGTCAGCAAATATTATTGTATTAGTTAGAATGAAGGTAAACGATTTCAGAAAACTAGAGAAACTAAATCAACTGATACCGTACCAATAATGAAGCTCTTCTGGCTCTGACAGGCCGCTGAACAGGTAGCGGCTTCTCGCTTCGGGAGTCTGAAAACATACCGCCCGATGAACTACTCTCAACATTCAAATCGCTCATACTGCTTCTTCTCATCAATTGTGGCATACCGGATAGAGAGAGATTTGATCTTATTACTTGTGACGCAAGTGGATACTTTGGAGGAGTGGATGGAGCTGTCGTAGGTGTTCCCGGACGTGAAAGTGGTTTTTGGATAAATGGAAACGGGAATGCAAATGTCGTTTTGTTGGTACTAATATTATACATATTGCCATTGTTACTGTTCATGGTAAAACCAATGTTGTCTTCTTCGTTGCCTGATTCGTTCTCACTCAATGAAGTAGGAGTGTCCAGTTGCATGGATATCGCAGATACATTGCTATCACGGCGTTGATGGCCAGGAGTGTCGTACATCTGAATCGACATCGCCGATACATTGCTGTCTCTTCGGCGATGAGAGGATTCGGGAATATCTGACGGAGAGTATGTCATGCCGATAAAATTGTTGTTCATGGCAAAGCTTGTATTTGTGTTGTTATTTAGCACTGGGGTAAAGTTCGTATTGAGTGAAGGAGGTATTGGTCTCGCTATTTTCCGAAACAATGGAGAATGCGAATGTTGTTCGCTTGGTTGTTCTTGAGAGGTGAGCGAGGGAATCTCTACATTTGCCGATGGTTGTGCGAACAATTTCCCGAGGTCTTGTGATGCAAAATGAAGATACGGTGTTATTTGTTGAGCAATTGGCGTGGTAGAGGCCGGTCTAAGGGCATCTGGCGTAAATTTGAACACATTGTCAGAATTATTATCAGAGTTGTTATCGACAACGTCGTCGTCTTGTTGTTCAGTCATGTCGGGATATGTTTTGCAAGACTATTTGAATATGTCAGAATATATATATAACAAGATGTGTTGATTTTTATGTCCAATTTAAGCTTTTCCTTTTTGACTGTATATCAGTTCTTTGTCTTGTGGTGTATCTTTTGTTTGTTGTGAGTGGGGTTGGCGGGCGGAGAAGTGCATGCATAATGGATAAATTCGTAGATCTGTCAAAATGTCAGACAATAACAAGTTAGTTAAAATGATGTAATTTGTCACATCTCCATGTCGTTTTAGGCATGTGATTATTAGTACTGCATTTGTCATGGGATTACATGCATTCGAAAAAAAGCCCCTTTTACTTTGTCTGTAAGAATTCTCTCTCAATTTTGCTTTAAACTTGTCTAATAACAACAGAAGGAAAGAAGACCGAACTAATGCTATACTAATACGAATCATCCCGAATTAGACGAGGCAATCTTAATCTGTTTCATACACTGTAGTAACAGAGTTGTTAATATTAATTCTAACCTTCAATATTTTTTTTCCTAATGCAGACTCCCTAACTGTAATACAGCCAACGAAGACTTTTGATTATCTCAACGCGTGATTGGGAAAGTCAGGTTTTACTATGACAGAATATTAAATAGCGATCGATTTTGTTATGCGCCGTGCGTGGCTACAAAATTGATCGGTTCAATGAAATAAATGGACACAGAAATTAAATATTCACTGCATTAATACTTAACCAAATTCTAACGGGTCGGGTTAATCGTGGACTTCGATCAAGGGAAGATTATCCCAACAGGTAAAACCTCATGGACCAACCTCTCTGCAAATGATATCTATTACAAATACAATTAATTAAGGCAACCACTCCAGAAACTATACTGACAAGAAATACGATTTGTGTGCTATTGGTTAATTTCAATGTCATCAGTATAACCTATTATAATTACTAATTCTGTCCACATAGCCCTTACTTTCAAATCTCTATGTGCCACAATCGACTTACTTAGCTGTCAACATCTTGCTAATACCATAAATTATCCATGCATGCAATATAAAAAACAGTGAATAAACAAAAGAATATATTTAATATTTACAGTATATAGAAAAAACCCACACTTATTATAAACATTGAACTTTTCTATAATTGCCACAGACTCAGGAAATAGAAAAGCGGAAACAAATTAAACAATTGATTAAATCAGAAGGATACAAGAATAATTCTTGTAAAGATCAGATAATACATTAATATAAAGGATAGATTTCAGTATATTAATCACGCTACATATGTGATACTTAAATATATTATAATGGAAACACTGTCATATGTCATTGTGATAATATTCATTAGATAGACCAGATATTTACATTTATAACTATGCTTATATAGTGTCAATATCAGCCAGAACATTTCACTTTCAGATATTGTTTAGTTTTTCTTTCTCTGACAATAATGTGTTAGTATATATCATAAACATTATTTTGTGCACCACCAATCCTTGTTTACAAATAAATCATATGGTTTTGCTCATTTTTTCCATCAAGATTCCATTGTGCTTAAGCATCCTCTTGGTTAGCTGCTTTTTGAATATCTTTTTAATACAAATTCCATCTCTATACGGCAACAACCAAGTTTAGCCTGTGCTGTAACATCTCCTTGCCCACTGTTTTTTGCCCATTTGCTTTTACTCTGACTCCACCATCCAAGATTATTGTGCAATTGGCATATCCTCATTCGGCTAACTTTTGAAGCGACTTACAATTACAGTTGAACCTCGTTATACCGAAGGACTAAGTAAAAACCCGCTAAACCGAAGGTAAGTACAGAAACGTCTGTAGCAAATTTACCTCGTTAAACCGAATTCCGCCTTATGGTCCCGACCTCTTCGTTATAACGGGTTCGACTGTATTCAGGAAAGAATAGCGTAAAGGATAGAGTGTTATTGATTGAATTACTTTTTTTTAGTGTATTTCTTTTCTTCGCTTATCCTTTCAGCCTGAATATTATTTCTTTACATTATTTGTTTATTATTACCAACAACCCATATAATTGTTGTCATGACATAGATAATAGAAATACTGCAGCACATTTGTTGGCTTATAAGCACGAATGGTACAGTGAAGGTCCGTCTGGTATGCCTAAGCAGTATAAATAATACTTGCCGCATATATAGTTATTAGAAAAGGTAATTGACGGTTAGTAGCGTTTATGAGTCCCGAGAAATTCAAAACTTTAATCTCAACAGCGCGGATATCGCTTAGACGCCGCCGCTAATCCCACAACATTCAGCTTGGTTTATCTGATCGAGGGAATTTAGTATGTACTTAAGAGGTTACCAAGGCGCAATATTCAGCGATATAAACTCCTTTGTCGAAAAAGAGAATTGTATGGAATAAATAATAATGGACCAGTTCACGGATGCTAGACATTTTGATAGAACTGCCATGCAGTACAGGTTTTATCGAGAAATACTAACTAAATCCGGTATATCAAGACCATTTTTATTTGTTCCATGAAAAAATTCGTACTAAGCGATATCTGTTAACGGAGTCCGTAATAGTAATAGAAAATTCTAATCAGCCAATCAAATTGTACCAATTTAATCAATTTAATATTATTTGCATAAAACATAAAATATCTAACTCTCCAAAGCGAATTACTTTATCAGGCGTACAAAAAAAAGAATTATCCGTATCTCTAACAGATAACAGATAACGATAAGCAATAATTTACTTGTAATTGTAAGGCCAATAAAGTTGTTGCAAATTATTTGATGTAACGGAATAGTAGACTACATGGTTATGGTCGGAACCGTAACCTCCGTTATATTAATGTTTCGCTGCGTAAAGTATTGAAATATTCAAACACATGTCGTTTCTGGAGGTCAAGGATATACATAATTCAGCAATTGACAACTTGGTCCAATCCTCCTTGGAAAGTGAAGATAAATACTTAAGACTTGAATGGATTCCTTGCTCGGAATTCACCGACATAGAGCCAACTCAAATTTATTATGCTAGTTGCAAATACACACTAGACGATGGTGAAGTCGTTGAAAGCATGATAACGCTGTTATGCCTTGGAAACAACAAAGAATGTACACAAACACTTGTGAGTGAGTTTGCTAGAATATACTCACTTCCAACACACAAGCACGACAGCAATAATAACAACTTCAAAAGATATTCCACTTGGCTTAAGGAACGCAACAAACTCATAAAGGGGTTTACCAAGCATAAAGATAACTATTATATGGTTGCTGATAAACGCTTTTACGATTGTTATTCTCGATATGGCTTCTGCACTGCATGTGGAATACTCCGATGTAGTCCCGTGTG